CGTCTTTATGTGCAGATGTGCCCTGTGGGGGTGTGTGCGTGTGTGCATGAAGAGCTCGGGTGCACAGGCGACACCTCTGGATGGGTTTTCAAGGCGGCGACTGCTGGGCACCCTTCCTCTCACTTTGTGACAGTGAACCCCACACACCTTAGCTGTGCCCGGGGCCTGAGGGACTCATGCTGCTGAGGGCCTGTGGCTGCTATGGGCAAAGCTGATTTAAGTCTGTGAGCTCCGAGGGGACACAGGGCGCATGGGCATGGGGGTGTGGGGGACACCCCTTCCCTAATGCCTAGCTAGGGGTGTCCCTGCTAGAACCCCCTACCCCCTACTGTCCGGCTCTGGAAACAAAGGCCAAGTGGACATTCCTTGCCCTGGAAATAGGATCCAGGGAGGGGCCTGCAGGGACTTCGCCCCATCTCTGGCCCTGCCACGAACCACATCATGGGCTTCAAGGCAGGAAGGTTCTGCGCACAAATCCTGAGATGCTTTAGATTAATGAGGCCCCACCTGGAGGAGCCCCCGCCTGGGTGTGAATTGATTTAATCAAGTCAGCTCTGAACTCCGGAAAAGCTGCCAGCTGGACTGCTCCACCCTCCAGGAGGGGAGGCTGGGCTGCGGCCCATCCTCTACCTCCTCTTCCCAGTCCTTTGTGGTGGACATTCAGCAGCGAACATGTAACACTGTAAAAGTTTCCATCTTACCCCTGCCCTGAGAGACGCCTCCTTGTGTGGCCCGTGGTCAGGCACTGACCTTCCCCAGCCTCGACAGCAGCCAAGTGACAGGTGGTACTGCTGTGCCAGCTCCTTTCAACTGTTTCTAAAGGCACAGCTCCAGGGTGTGACACGGGTCACAGGCTGTGTGGCCACCCCAGCCACAGGCAGCCTCTTTGCATCTTGTGACCCTGAAGCTCCAGCCCCATCCCTGAGGCTGTCGCTCTGCTTTTGGTCTCCATGGCAGTGATGACTGGGTACTCACAGAGAGAATCACAGAGCATGTCCTCCTGTGTCCCAGGGCCTCAGGTCTCCAACACCTGTCCAGGTGAGTGCCTTGGGCCCGGAGGGCTGCATGATACTCCAGTGGAGGCACTGCAAAGCCCACTCTGAACACGGCAGCCAGCCAGGGGCTTCTATTCCTGCTACCTGCCAGCCAGAGGGCAAGTGGGGCTCTTCAGCTGACCAGGGGACAACATAAAACCCTGTGTGGTGACAGGGGTGATCTTCAAGGGAGAAAGCGTTAGCCGACTCTGGTGGCAAGAAATTGCCTGTCTTTGGGCAAAACTGTTCTGTCCTGGCTCTGCCTGCCCCACACAGCTCTGGCTGGACATGGTGCTCAGAGGAAGGGCTTGTCCTAGTCCAGCTGGGGCTGCCAGGCCTCATGCGGGAGCTCAGCCCAAACTACGGCCTTGGCGCTTCCGTGTGACGGCACCACATTCTGTGGGGTCCCGGGCTTCTTCTGCCCCACATCTCTTCCGATCCCTGTTGCTGATTCTTCTGGAGTGCACCTGCTGGCTCACTCTGTATCACCACACTGAACATTCCAGGAGCTAGTATGGCATGGTGGCGTACTCCTATAATCCCAGCACTGGGAATGCAGAGCCAGGAAGATCTCTGGGAGTTCGAGGCCAGCCTAGAGTACACAGTGAGTGAGTTAAAGGCCAGCCTGAACTGCATAGTGAGGCCCTGCCGCAGGAAAAAAGTAAATAAATTGAAAAAGAAAAACACTCCAGGAGCCACATCTGCCACCCACAATGCTCTGCATTCCACGTCTCTGCCAGCAAAAGGCCAGGGCTCCAGTTTCTCCATGTTCTTGCCAACATCTGCTCTTCCAGTGTCTTGAAAACAGCCCCGCCATGGTGCGAAGTGGCTCTCACTGGGCCCTGACTGCCCCACCTGAGTGCCATAAGTGTCCTTCCACACGTGTCTCTGTCCACACCCTTTCCTGGGTCAATGTTTATTTGAGTTATGGTTATGATGTCCTGGCAGCTTGGATTTCAGACACAGGACTGCCAGTGCCCACCTGCTCCTGTGGGGTCCTCTGGGTCCCATGCCCCAATGTTCCTGCGTGACACACCCACGCCCAGAACTGCCAATCCCACACCATGGTCTGTCTGTGGCCCAGGGCCGGCCCCCATGCACTCGTCGGGACATGGACCATCTCATGTGCTTGTTTCTTAGATGACCTGCCATCCGCAGGACAGGCAACACTGGGATTTGGAGTTACCGGGGCAGCCCAGGGCCGAGGTCCTGCTGTAGGGACCTGCTCAGGTGGACCTCGTGGTGAAGCCCCTGGCTCCTGCTCTGTGTGACCCAGCCGTGATCTCCATTCTGGATGTTAAAGCTCCTTTATTTAAACAAAATCCAACATAAAGGGAGTTGGTTTGCGAAAAAGAAGCCAAATCAAGCAGCCTGCATTCTTCCCACCAGGCCGAGGCGAGAATGCCGCCTGGGAAGACACGGCCACCGGCAGGTGAGTGCCATGAAATATTTACACGGAGGAGAGCACGCCTGCCGGTACAACAGCTTTCGGACACCAGAGCCAGCAGCCTCGCCCAGATCAGCTGGCCAGCCTCGGCAGAGGACCAGGCAGTGGCAGCGGCGGTGGGGAGCCCTGTCCTGCAAGGCCTGCGAAGGTGGCCATGAGGCCAGGCTGAGGAGCTCACCAGCACCCTTGCCAGGGAGGAGGTCTCCACACCCAGCCCCACACCTGGCCCATGCTGTGGTGCGACCCTCGGGAACCTCCCCTGGGACTCTGCAGCTGGCCTCCGGCCCTGTGCTCTCAGGAGATGCTTATGTCCAGAGGGAGACTGGCTCGTGGCAGGCCCCACCCCCTTCTCATGGCACCATGGCCAACGAGGCAGGCAGCAGGGGCCCCAGGCAGGTGGTCCAGAAGTGTGTGCACCACACACTCACACAGCCAAACCCCAGGGATAACAGGGAGGGGTCTAGACACCATGTCAATGCCCCTCCAGAGTGAGGGGATCACGACTACCACTGATCCTGCCATGAGCCAGCTAGCCCAGGCTGTCTAGCGAGGGAGGAGGTGCTGGCCTCATGACAAAGTCAAGCGTTGGGAGCTGAGGCTGGATGCGATCAGGAGGACAGCAGAGAAGGAGCTTGGGCAGTGGGCAGGAGACCTCCTTGATGCGCGCCTGCCCTTCACACACACCCTGTGGGAAGGTCAGCCTGGGACAGAGGACGCACCCAGCACTTGCTCCTGGCTCAGCACCCAAGGAAGACCCATAAAATCTTTGTTTATTTTTTTAAAACTTGGTTTACATTGTCTTAATGACAGCACCAAATAATAGGTCTTCTGTTCCCACATAGTGGGCACGACACAAAACCACTCGATTCACTATCCCTGGAATTGCCACCCCAAGTCCCCAACCCGCAAGAACCCAACTGGCTATCAACAGAGGTCATGGGCCAGCCAGGCGGTGGCACAGCTGGGTCACCTTGCAGCATAGGTCCCACACCCGGGGCCTGGCCCCTGGATGGCTTGCCAAGCCCCAGCCTTGCAACTGGGTGTGAGAGGACCCGCACATGGGTGAAGCCAGGCTGTGCAGATAGAGAATCCTGGGCCCCTGTCACACCAGGAAGAGGGGCTGAGGAGCCTTGAAGGGGTACCTACTGGGGCCACGTGATCCAGTCCCAACCCGCCTGGTGTTGAGAGCAGGTACCCTGGGCATCTGCCTTGCCACCGAGAGTCCAGGCAGAGCCCCGTGCTGTGGGGAGAGCCATGGGGAGCAGGAAAGCCCTGTCAGGAAGTCCTGGTGGGGTTTGAGATCAGACCTACCCTGGGGGACAGCAGTGTGAGGACCAGGAGGGTGCTTCTCCCCACCTCCTCTCAGGAGACCCTCCTGACCAGTCCACACCACCATAAACTCCATAACAACCATAAACTCCACAGCCCCCAGCTCAGGAACCCCCAACTTGCTTCCCAAAACATGAAGAAACCTGTCCCTGGCCAGCAGGTGGGCAGCCACTCCAGCCCCTACTGCCTGGCCAAGACCAGGAGAACCCTGCACCTATCCAGCTGGAGAGGGTGGACACAAGCTGGAACAGACCCAGGGTCTCCATAGCCATGGGCTCAGGTGGGTGACACAGAGCAGCCCAAGAGCCAGCTGCTACCTGTCCCCATTGCATGTCCATGCCTGGGGACAGGTTGGGGAGGAGGTTTGGACTTATGTATGTTACACAAGTGTCAGCTGGCCAGTCCTATGGAGTGGACGCTTGCAACATACACATCAACCCAGACACACAGGTGCAGATACATACACCATACAGACCCACACAGATATCACACCCAGATACACACACAGATCTGTGCCACACAAAGATGCACACCACAAAGAGACCCAAACCACATATCCACACAGAGAAAGGCCCTAGGCAAGACCTGTGGCTGGGGCTCCCCTCTCCCGGCGCCCTGCTGCCACACTGCCTAAACACCCCTGGCCTCATGAGCTGCCCATCCTGCTGGCTGGTGGGCCCCACACAGGGAGGGACCCTGATGGGAGAACTCAGATGCCCAGGCCAAGGGGCACGAGACCATGCTGGTGGTGTGTGCTCTCCCATGCCCGCAGGCCACCTGGCCTGGCCACCTGAGGGGCAGACAGCAGTCAGGAACCAGCCTGTCCTCCATCCCCATGGCTCATAGCCGACATCTTAGAATCCTGGGACCTCTGGCTGGAGCACCACATGGGGCAAGGGGTGCGCTGCGGGGGAGGGGTGAGGGGTGGGGTGGGTTTGGCACCACAGGTCCCTATGCCCACAGGCCCTGCCAGGATGGGATGGGCCACCCTCCCCGAAACCTGAAGGTGATTTGGCCTGGACAGCCTGCAGCCGCCAGGGTGCCGGGCCTCAGGAGTGTCACCCACCAATCACCAAAAGTCGTCCCTGCTGACTCCTGGACGACTCTGTGGAACAACCATCAGAGGCCAGTGCCCACCTCCCGCCCCACCCCCAGGCACTCTCCGGGATCCCGGTGACCCTGGCGCCTACCGTAGCGGCTGGGCTCACGACAGTAGAGCAGGATGGGCAGCGCGTCCACCCCCGGATCAGGCGCGGTTTGGAGGTCAGTGTTGGCGCCAGGACCGGGGTCCCTGGGATCGGTGTCGCCGAGGTCGAGGTCGGGACCACCTCTGTCTGTCCCGGTCCCCGCGTGCCCCACCCCGCCCGCCGGGGTCACCACGAAGCGTAGGGACATGCTGGCGACCGAGCGCGGCGCCGCGACGGCTGCGGGACCAGGAGCCTAGGCTGGGGCAGCCAGGATCAGGGGGCGGGGCCGGGCGGGGCCAGGCGGGAGGGGGAGGCCTGAGCCAGGGGGCGGGGAGGAATGGGCGGGGCCAGGCGGGGCGGGCTGGGCGGGGCCAAAACGGTGGAGGGGGTGGGGAGAAAAGAGGCAGGAGTGGGGGGCTACAGGCTGGGCCAGGTAAGCGGTGGGGCCTCTGAAGGGGCTGGGGGCAGTAGTATTGGAGGGGCAGGGGGTGTGTAGAGTTGTGTGGGGGGGTGAGGAATTGGAGAGTGGGGGACTTGGGCTGGGGGCCTGCTGGAGGGATCCCAGGCGCTCCTTACTGTACAGCTGGAGAGAGTTGTGTCTGGGCATGGGACAGGTGTGTGGCATCTGGGGATCTGGTGCCACCCTCCGTTAGTCCTGCCCATGGGACATGGCACTCTTGGCCACCCAGCCAGCCCAGCCCATTCAGTGCAGAGTAAGGGGTCACGCTTGTGGCGTGGAGTTGTGCTCCCCCTACATGCACACGCCTGAGCCAGAGAGGATATGGTGAGGACTGAGGTCTCAGATGGGCCCTTGGCCTGGGGACAGTGAGGATGCCTACCAGACTCCAGCCCAGAGACTGGGGCCCAACTGCCCAGGAGATACCCTAGTTGGCCACCCCCATAGCTTATCCTTCCCCAACACTCACCTCCTGGCTGCTGAGTCAGCGCTAAGGGACAAGTGGCCATCTTCTGAGCCTGCCTGGGGGTGTGGAAGTGGACTGGTGCCCAGAGGCTGTGGGAACAGGTGCACGATGCTGAAACGGCACTGCCTCTGCCACTGGGTTCAGCAGGGGCTGGGCTTCCGGCTCTGACATTGCATGTACAACACATCCACATCACCACACGCTGGCCGCCTGTGCCAACCCTGCTGGACACAGAAGGGCCAGAGCCCTGTCTCTGAGGCAGAGGTAAGAACACTGAGGCAGGGAAATGACATCCAAGTGTGACCTGGAGGAAGTTGTCCACTGTGGCAGCTGCCAGAGTGGTCACCTCGTGATGTGGGATGGCTGCACCTGGTCCAGGGCCCCCCCAGCAGCAGGCAGAAACATGGAGGCAGTGAGCTGCTCCCTCCTGGCACGACCTCGAAGTTGCACACAGCACCTCTGCTTCTGTCACCTGTTATGCAGCATACCTGTGCAGGAAGCTGGGGCCCAGGCCTGGGTGAGGGGCGAGCAGAGGCCCAGAGCTCGTTCTGCAGGGCACCTTCTCCATTCAGTTGGCAGCCAGGCGAGGAGAAGCCAGGGAATGTTTCCCCTGCAACACACCTGCCCACACCTGTGCACAGGTGCCCATACCTGCCCAAACCTGCCCAGGCCTGTCCACACCTGTCCATGTCTGCCCTGCAGCACACCTTCCACACCTGCCCACATCCATCCACACCTGCCAACACCTGTGCACTGGTGCCCATACCTGCCCACACCTGCCCAGGCCTGTCCACACCTGTCCATGTCTGCCCTGCAGCACACCTGTTCACACCTGCCCACATCCATCCACACCTGCCCACACCTGTGCACTGGTGCCCATACCTGCCCACACCTGCCCAGGCCTGTCCACACCTGTCCATGTCTGCCCTGCAGCACACCTGTCCAAACCTGCCCACATCCATCCACACCTGCCCACACCTGTGCACTGGTGCCCATACCTGCCCACACCTGCCCAGGCCTGTCCACACCTGTCCATGTCTGCCCTGCAGCACACCTGTTCACACCTGCCCACATCCATCCACACCTGCCCACACCTGTGCATAGTTGCCCATACCTGCCCACACCTGCCCAGGCCTGTCCACACCTGTCCATGTCTGCCCTGCAGTACACCTTCCACACCTGCCCACAACCATCCACACCTGCCCACACCTGTGCACTGGTGCCCATACCTGCCCACACCTGCCCAGGCCTGTCCACACCTGTCCATGTCTGCCCTGCAGTACACCTGTGCACACCTGCCCACATCCATCCACACCTGCCAACACCTGTGCACACGTGCCCATACCTGCCCACACCTATCCAGGCCTGTCCACACTTGTCCATGTCTGCCCTGCAGCACACCTGTCCACACCTGCCCACACCTGTACACACGTGCCCATACCTGCTCACACCTGCCCAGGCCTGTCCATACCTGTCCATGTCTGCCCTGCAGCACACCTGTGCACACCTGCCCACATCCATCCACACCTGTCCACACCTGCCCATGCCTGCCCATACCTGTCCACACCTATCCACACCCATCCATCCATACCTGCTCACACCCTTGCACACTTACCAATACCTGACCATGCTGATCTATACCTGCCCTGTGTCACACCTGTTCACACCCACCAACACCCATCCACGCCTATCCACATCCTTTAGGCTTCTCTGGGGGCTGCTTTGGTGCATCTCTAAGCAGAAGGGGTCTCCCTCGAACCCTGCCCTTCTTTCCACATCCAATAATGTCCAGGTCATTCTTGCTGCTGTTTATTCCCAAGATTGGCTTTTCTTTTTTTTTTTTTTTTTTTTTCATCAGTACCGGGGATTCAACTTACAACTGCACTTGCAAGGCAGGCTCTTATGCCGCGGGCTAAATCCCCAGCCCCCTCCCTGCAGATGAACTTTTCAGTCTTTCTCTTTTTCTTGTTTTGAGACAGGGTCTTGCTATGTAGCTCAGGCTGGCCTTAACTTACTATGTAACCCAAGCTGGTTGCAGTACCTTGGCTGCTGTACAGTGTGGTGGAACAGGATGAACTCTCAGGTGAGACGGAGCCCGGAAGTCCCTGTCTGCGGCAGGCTGGTGACCCCTCGCTGTCTCTGATCAGAGGCATGAAGAAATCCTTGCAGAAATCCTCCTGTCTCAGGCTCTTGAGTGTTGAGATTACAGGTATGTACCACCAGGATTGGCCCCTTTCCATAATTTTTAAAAGTTTTCCCCCAAATCCATTCGTGTTTTCCTGAAAAGGAATCAGACACAATTTTGAATGTGCTGAGAAACATCTTACGGCGTCGGATCTTTCTGCCCATTAAATGCATTCCTGTTTATCCACATTTCGGCCACCACCATTTGGACCTTGAAACCATGCTCTGGATGAAACTGAACCAAACATCGCTGGATCTGTTTCCTGTGTAACCAACCCGCCATCTCACTGAATTCCAGATTCCATTACTCCAGTGTTTTCCCAGCCCAGCCCCTTGCATTCTTGCTGGGAAATTTTTTAGCCCACAAAGAATGACAGCTTTGATCTTTTTCCTTGGTATACTTCTTCTGTTTTCTTTTCACCCTCTGTTCTATTCTGGAATGCTCTAGAAATTTCAGGGCATCACTGAATGCTGTGCCCTAGTGGAGCTGCATGTTGCCTCTGGAGGGACATGTGGACATCCTAGTGTTGGTGGGCACGTAGCCCATGGAGGCTGGGGATAGCTTGTGCCCTGGTTGGCTGGGCAACCAAGGCAGGGAGCTTGGGAGAGGGGCAGTCATTCTCACTTGGCTATGTGGGAAGCCTCCATGCCTCTAATCAGAGACAGCGAGGGGTCACCAGCCTGCTGCAGACACAGGCTTCTGGGCTCCGTCTTACCACATAGCACAGCAGCCAAGGTCTGCCCACCTTGCCCTCAGCCAGCACCTGGCCTTGAAATGTGAAGGGCTTGGCAGCCATACCAAGCCCAGCAGCTTGTCTTGCCTTAGACCCCTCTCAGGCTGGGAATGGGCTGGCCCGAGACACAGGAAGCCCAGCAGTTCTGATCAGTGTTACACATCTGTGCAGAGAACAGAGAACACACAGACTACCAAGCCTCCTCTTTAGAACATTAAACATGGGAAGTGCGGCTGGTTCCTGCAAGACCCCAAATAAAGCAATAAACAGGGTGACAATGAGCTCTGGGTGCACCAGGTGACAGGGGCTTGGAGGAGGCTCAGGCTGCTGGAGACACAGAGAACACGTGTGCCATTCGGGGTGGGAACAGGACAGAGGCTCCAGGACCAGGCGATGACTGCTGCAGCTCTCCGGTTTTCATGTGTGTCCCCTCTTTCTTCCTCTTGCTCTGTGTGGCGCCTCTGATTGTACTAGGGGTTATTCACTGGAGACAAGATCTCATTAGGTTACTAAGTCTTCCAGGCTGGCCTTGAACTTTTGATCCTCCTGCCTCAGCCTTCCCAGATGAAATGTCAAGTGTGCCTCCATCACGCTGGGCTCTTTCTACCATCTCAGGCTGAAAATACATTCATTTTTTTCCCATTACGTCTCAGTAAATAAAGAGAACATTGAAGATTATACATTTTCCTCTGCAAATAGCCTTGGCCTGGATGACAGGTCTCTCTACCTCTGTAATTACAATCATTGCCTCTGGAGCACTGAGCTATTTATAGCCCCTGCCTCTCGCATCTGATTGTTGGATGAGGTCACTTCTGCAATCCTGGGGCTGGGCTCCCCCATGTGCCACCCGCCCTCATTGGGGCCCTCCTACTATATCTGCTGTGCCAGGCACCAGGGGACACACTGGTTGTCTGCTGCCCAGGACGTGGCTGGCTGGCTGAGCCCCGAAGACTGGAGATGGCTGCTCGAGGCCACACCAGGGTCCCTCAGCTGAGTGGAGAGCTGGAGTGTGAGTGACACAGGTAGCAAATGGCCCCGCTCTTCCACCAGCCCAGGGTCCAGGCAGAAGAGGCCCTGACACTGCTGTCCCTGGACCTAGGCCTCCAGTGCACTGAAGCTGCCCCTTGGACAGAAACATATGATGGGGGCAGTGCCCAAGGGCTGGCGAGAGTGGCAAGGACCCCCAAGGAGGCAGCTGACCTTGAGCATGGGCCCTGCCTGGGCACCTGAACAGGCTCACTGGCCTCCTCAGCAGGCCATGCAGGGAGCCCCCGAGGGTGGACATCAGGGAGGACCCCTGCAGGAGGTGTGTCCTGTATTGTGTCCAGATGTCCCCCAGAAGCCTCCTGTAGTCTTCCATGGGCCTTTTTCAGAGGTGGCTGAATCTAGAGTGTG